CAAATTGATCAAAAAATGTGACTGCCACCACACAAAATAAATGCTTTGGCAGAATCACGCTTTTTCAAGGAATTGTTATAAGCTATCAGTATTTGTCAAACTATTTCAAAAGACATCAAGATTCAAGTCTACATATACGAGCACAAGATGCTTCTGTGCAAGGGGACATTACAGAGGTGATTCCAGAATCCAGCACACCTCTGTACAAAACATCTATTTCTTCATTTACTTCTGTCCCAGAAGACAGAAGAGCAAGACCTTCCATTGGTATGAACTTTTACAGACCCACTGAAGACAAAGACACTGTGTACTAGTGTAGCCATGATATCAGTTCAGCATAGGTTCAATGGAGCTATAAATAATTTATATCAGATAAGACTACAGCCCCACAATCTTCCTCCCTGCTGATCTTGACTGCAGCTGGAAGATATTCTGGGTGGGAACTCACCAGAAGGAATAATACAAATATTATTTGACTTTTCAAGGGAAAAATATATTGAATCTGTGCAATTTTTTTCTAAGTAAAAAGAAAATATGAAAAGAACAGCAGCAATTAGAGAAAAAAAAATAGAGACACTAAATGCCATCTCCTGTACTTGGGCACAAGGAGCAGATTTGAAACTCAAAGACAGTAATCACCGTATTCCTAGATCAATAAAATACATTGCAGAAACAAAAAGTGTTTGTAGAATAAGGGATTCTTACTTCACAAGTAACTCTTACTTAACATCCTCCAGAAAAATTAAGGGAAATGTTAGAAACTTACGTCCAAATGACTTCCTATGGTCACCTACTTATCTGCATTCTGTGGATACTTCTAGGAATGCTCATCCCTCTGAATTAAGCTGTCACTCACATTCACTGCCAGCAGATAAAAGGGTTTTCAAAAGATAAACTGAACATGTCCAAACAAAACTCATTCTATCACCACTTCATTTCCTTAAGCAAATTACAGTAGCAACAAGCTTTAATACTAAAGCAAGCTTAGTCTTCCCCTCAACAATAAACACCAACTGAAGAGCAGGTACAATTCCTACTGGAAATCTTGAAAATAAGGGCACTTCTCATTGCAAATGATCACAACTCTAAATACTCCTTTACTTTCCAGAAAAATACCTTCACTAAAAGCCTTAACTGCACCTCATGAAAGTGATCCAATTTCTGCACGAAGACACGTCAGACATGTATAATTGATTAACTTAGCCTCCAGCAGAGCCAAGAACTCTGAAAGACAATTTTAATTACATACAATTAATACCAATAAATTCACTCTGCCCTTGTCTAAGAACACAACTAAAAAAATCAAAGCTTTGTACATGTAGTAGAAATGGAATAGAACACCACACAACAAAACCACATTGTAAAGTCACATTATCTTTCACCAACCTAGTCCTGTAAAACATACAGAACTCCTACATACATAGCTGACTGCCACACAGCTATTGTTCTTTCCATTATAGAAGGGAACCGTGATGCCAATTAAATTTGTTAGTTCCACACATACACAAACATTTTGCTAAGCTTTTCAGAACAACTGGGTTATTCTTGAATCACTACTTAAAATTAAACAAGAATCTGGAAAACTAAGGAAGAGACGGTCAACTCTGATTTTATGAACAAAGCTCAGTGCAGACTGACTACAAACTATACATTATTACTATACACATTACATGGAATTCAAGTTCCTAAGCGTTCTAAAGTAATCAGAATGAAGAGAAGCCCTGCAATAAACTAATTGATGGGTAGGTCAGGATAATCCTTCACCAAGGGACAATTCACCTAGAGATACATTCAGGGATTAAAAATTCAAGTTTTACCTTTTAAAAGAACTTCTTACTGAAAATTATCATTCCAATTGATAACCTCTTAAGCAGTTTCAACAGAAGGTTAAGAAAGAAATGAGCACAGAAAAACAAAGCACCTTTCTGCCCTAGTGTACTCCTCTAATCTATGATGCCATATAAGTAGAAAATTTATATTATCACGCTATGCTTGTTATGTAGGCAAAAAAGTAGCTATGTCCAGGTGGCTCTTTTGCAAATCAAATTTGATGTTACTTCACTTGTGTTCTGAGCCAGTTCTAATCCAAAAAATGGGTATGTTTTAGGGTGATGCTGTCCTGGAACTGATAAATCTGGTTTCCCTCAGGATTTATGAGCTCAGAGGACAATGTACATTAATGTGTCCATATGATTTCCAGACCAAAAAGGAGACTGAGCAGAGGAAACTTAAGTCTGCCTGAAACACACAGATTGTTTCCACAGTCTTCAGGTTGCTGTGACACAGAGGATCACAACCTATAACTATTTTCTTCTTTCTGCAAAAGAAAGTTTTTTGGAACAAGCCTACCTTTATGCTCAGAGAAGGCACAGTAGCTTTGCTGCATCTGCTCTGTTATGCACAACCCAGGCAATCTCAGCAAGGCGTACACAAAACAGACCTTGCTTGGTCACACAAATCTATTCCTAATTTTAACCACATCAAACAGAAAAAAATTTCAAATCATGTTTCTGTGATTAGTCTGCAGCTCTCCTTTTACTCAAACTGAAACACTGCCAGGTCTCTAGGAACATTTAGTCAGAGTTTACCAGTCCAATGAGTGTACTAACTAATCACAGTGATAGCTCCGTGTGTAAGTGTGAACAGCAAGTGATTCATCTGCTCGTCAGACTAGCAACACACTGCCAGCAGCAGCCAGCTCTTTGGGATTAGCAGGTATAGACTGTCAGGTGCCTCAATTTACAGCAGATCAGCCCTTGCACTTCATAGTCCAAAGCTGTCAATCCAATATCTTTATTAAGCAACAAAAGCACTATAAAGTACTGTACAGCAAAGGAATAGAAAATTTAATAGAAAATTAGATATTCTAAAAATAATTTAAGTTTAATTTTAAGTTCCTTAAACTATAACTGGATGAAAAAAGTGTATATGCAAAAAAATGACATAAGTAAAAAAAAAAATCACTAGAAGTCTGATAAAATTATTCATTACCTCATAGAAAAAGAGTGTGTTTGGCTTAACATAATCAAATCACGACATTTTACGCAGATGGATGGGATAACAGAATGTTTTCTCAAACTTTGAAATAAACACAGATAATTTGGACCAATTTAAGTGACCTTTAGATCTCAGACAGACAATTACTTCAAAGCAAGCCTTTTGATAAATTTTCTCTACGTTAATTAATTTCTCATTTTAAATTCCATTAGTACTTGATCACCACAGCATGAGAGCTAGTGTCATCCCAATACATAATGAGGAACCTGAATACACTAATATGCTCTCACTTTCATTAATATTGTAAATTATCTATTTCAAACCAACATGAAACATTTTGAAATAAGGTATTAAGGCAGAAAAAGTCTCAATATAGTAAGATTAGATCCTATCATGCTGAGCTCACTTGTAATGCTAGTAAAATTAAAAATATTACTTATAGAGAAAAATATATGTATAGCTAAGAATTTACAAGATAGAGCCTGCTAAGACCTGCTCTTGCTCTGTTAAAAAGCAATTTAATCTTGCCATTGATATAAATTCAGACTCTAAGTGCTTCAAAGAAAGTTGTAGTTTCATAAAAGGTCACTATTTATATCTATCTAGTATTAATTATCTTTTTCCATAAAAAAATGTTAAACTTGTTCAAATGTAATGCTATTCATATCCATTCTTTTGTAGAAGAAGAATACAGAACTATAGTGCTCCTTGTCTAAGGAATCATTTAAGTCACATAGTTACACAAAGAATACCCACATCATTATTCATTCCAAAGGCAATGCCTGATTGGTGAGCTCTACTCTAATAAGACCACAGCCTTGCAAACGACAGCAGTGATTTCCTCATTAGAGGATATTTCTAAGAAAATATAAAAGCTTCAAGCTTTCTGTAGGAAAAAATCAAATTTTTCTAACTTCACAAGTTTAGTAATTTTCAAATCAAACAATTTCAAAAGATTTTATGAACAAATCTCAACCTGTGATGTTTAAAGACTGGCTACAAGATAATTCAGGGAGGTATTTCCACTTCTCAGAATCTTTGCAATGGAACTTGCAGATTCAAAGCAAGCTCCTGAAAGTATTTCAATAGAACTTTATTACAAGCATAATCTTTTGTTCCAAAATAATTCAGCTCTCCTCAAGTTTTGCAGCACTCCTAGCACATCATTCTTAATCAGTATTAAAAAAGTATACACCCTGTGGGATTCCACATATGAAGTGAGTGGTGGAGAAAGCAGAGTATTTATACAAAGGTGCATTTTTAAAGTTCTGTGACAGGTACAGACAAAACCTCTGTAAGCTGGGGAAAAGAAGATAGCAACAACTCAAGAGTTTACCCTACTGATTACTACATGAACTTTTAAAAGAAAACAGACTAACCAACCATATTATTTTGACTGATGTACCAAAAATTATCAAGTATCAAAAACTGTGATTATTCTACTTCAAAATGCAAGGTAATTACAATGAATGCAATACCCAAACAAGTAAAGTGAAAATACTATGCCATACTACAAAACAGTCTGTTTTTAAGCAGGCACCTAAGTTCTGGAAAGCAAGGAAATAACAAAGCCACGTGAGTTCTCAGTACTGCTGAAATGAAATGCTGGTCATTTTGCATTGGCCTCGTTTGATCCAATGATGACTTCTGCACTGCAGATGGTTTCTAGTTTTCATTGGTAGTCAGTGGAGAGCAGAATATACTTGCAAAAATATAATTTAATTAATTTCATTTTAAAGGAGATGGCTTAAACAACTCAGCCAAGCCGCATCCGGAAAATATTTCTCTTCATTGGTCACAACAGAATCCTTAGGTGACCACTTAACGTTTGTAAATGCGTAGAGTTAGGTGAAATACATACAGTCCTTCGAAGGTATCTGCTGAGGAGATCCCTGGAGGCAGCCTTCTTCAAAGTCTGTCCTTAAAACAAAACTTTGCACCCTCATTTGCAGCATGAATATATTTATTTGGTAAAACATTATTTATTTAAGAATAAATTGCACTCTGAAGAGTTTTCAGGAAATATATCCCAAAATACCAGAAATATTTGAATCCTGAGCATCTACTTCCTAATTCTCAAATTAAAATGGTCATTTAAAATATTTTACCATTCAGTCTGGAAGCAGTCAAGAGTTCTGGACATTCCCAATCTGACCAGGAAATTGCAAAAGAAGTCATCCATCGCTTCAGGTATTTCAGACATTGATGTCTCAGAAGTTGGAACTGATTGCGAAGCCTGAAATTAACATTTGATAACTGTTATTAAAGCTAAAAGACAAATGTAATTATCATATCTATTTGTGAAGTCATCTAAAGTCACAGATCTACTGGAGTACAGCTGCATGTTTCCTTGTCTTTTTTGATCAGATCTGTAATCACTGATACTTCTAATGTCAAGGTCTGTGAAAGGTTATAGAGAAATAACTCAAAAATCACCTGATTTAAGCACATATTCTGAACCTGATATGGGCTTGAAACTATTTAAACTGATTATCTTCTGTCACTGACCAGAGAGAAAATGTTAGTTCTCATACTCCTGTACTCTGCAGCAGCCTCCAAAACTATTGATGAGAAAAATCAGTACTATCATCTAATGACAAATGCAAAAGTCCAAGGTGACAGTAAAACGTCTCATATTCTTTTTGTAATGATACATGCAATGGAGAGAGACTGAAAAAGCTGCATCTCCATCATTAGATCTCTTAGGAAGTCTCAAAGATCAATTCTCCTTTTTCTTCTCAACATCCATATGCAGACGCTGAGTGAAGCTGCCAGACAACGTTGCTGTAAGTGTTAGCGGAATGCAGATGGTGCACTGAGGCTTCATATGCAGCTCCTCCAGTGCCATCAAGATAGACAGCTATGCAGATAAGATCAGTTCATGGGTCAAGCACAGTTGCCAAAAGCAGAATCAAAATAAAACAGAGCAATCCTACTACTGAGCAGGGGAAAAAAAAAAATCCCTTTCACAGCTTTCTGTTGCATTGCAAATTTCTTTCCTTCACCCAACCCTACCCAGCCCACTCAGTGCACAGCTTGATATTAAGCTCTCCTAGAGACCGCAAGATACAAGGAGAGATGGAAAAAATAAAATATGAGCCAGTCTGAGACTACCCTCCCTGACCCTGCAAAATGCATTTAAAGATAACCAGATGAGAGGGACTGCCACACTTGGCAGCCAAAGCAATGGCCTTAATTCATTCAGACTTCAAATAAATTACAGCAACTTGACATACCTAAGTGTGAAGCTCTCGGCTACGATGGACTTGCTCAACAATGCAGGCTACTAAGATAAGATACTGCACATGCCTGTCCTCCTGGTGAGAGGACAACAGAACAAACCCAGGCTTGACAACTACGACTATAATGCGCTCTTGAAAAACTCTGATTCCATGATAATGTGAGCTACAGGTTATTAATGCCTCTGCAGAGAAGCAGAAAGCTTCCATACGTGCCTACCTTCTTTTCTTCATTTCAATACTAGCAAAACTAAAAAAAGATTCCAGTGAGATATTCCTCAAGGCATGCTAAAGGCTGTGACTGCAAATTACTTCCTTGATCAATTTAAGAAAGAATCTGTAGGCCACGGATTTCTGATAACTCCATCCATTTATGGCTTATTCACATCCTTAGTGAGAGCTCTAGCAACATGACTATGTAAGTTACCTGGAGATAAAGGCATTTCTCTTGATAAACTAAAACCACACGGCATTCTCTACACTGGAAAATCTCACAACCCTTTTGTATAATACTGAAAATGTTGTGTTTAATCCAAGCAACCTACCTAATATAAACAGAAAGAATTGTACATGTGCCATCAAGATCATGTAACACTGTATTATGAATAATACAATATGCCAAGCGCAATGTAGTATTTACCATATTTTCATTACTAGAGCTACAGTACATCAGACAGGTCTATTTTCTAATTGTGGTAATACAAGAAGCAAAGAGTAAATCTGCAGACAGGCAGCTGCATCCCTTTTCTTGCTTCTTTTCTGCCTTTATTCTAAGCGAGGCAAATGTCTAACGTTGTCACTTGTAGTTTCCCAAACACATCTATAAACGTAGTCTTCAGAAGAAATGACACGGCTTGATTCCCTTAATAAATGGAAATATGATAGGAACTCATTTCATCCATGCAGAAGAGAATTTATTAGCTAGATACAAGCACTGAAAAATCATTTCAGGAACCGAAGCTCGAGCAGGGAACAATATAGGGAAAAATGAATGCAGTCTAACAGGCACAGTGTTGGAGCGGTGTCTCAGGAAACCAGAATTAAATTCTTAGCTCTTCTCCAGACTTTGTGAGTGATACCAGGCTGGCCACTTTCTTTATCTTAACCTTGGATGACAACCCATAGAATGATGTAACAGTAATTTTTTGTATATATTTATCTACTTCGAAATAAGGAAAAAACAATCTACCAATTAATGTGGTGCAAGACACCCTACAGATTTTAAATTATTCTGACCATTAAGTCAAAATCAACAAGCTAAATATGTGCTTTGTTAAATATTTATTGGCTAAATTTTTTAATTAGAATCTTCAAACCATTTTGAGTGCAAGGATTGCAAATAAGGCCAGCAAAATAAATTAATTACTAAGTGTTTAATCTTAAGGACTTCTACAATACTCGCAAAAAATTCTGTCCAATTAAGAAAGATTAACACCAAATAAATTAATAAATTCTCCAAAAAATAAAATGAGATGTGCTTACAAGACTTGTTAAACTAAAAAAAAAAAAGAATAAAAAAGGGAAATCAAAGATTTTTAACACGATCAAATAAATTATAAATCAGACCTACATAAAATATCAGGTTGATGAACAGCAATGTGACTGCAGATTACCATTTGGGATATTAAGAAAATAAAGATCCTGGAAGTGAAGTGTAAGAGCTGTAACTACTGAAGAGGGTAATTCAGCCAGCTCGCTTTGTGTGCGCAGTTTTCCACAAGTTCTCTACCCTTTTTCTGGGATCCCTATCAGCTGAAGATTTTCTTTCATATGCAAAATATTCTATTGCTTGTGTTTTAAAATAATTTATATTACTTTACAGTGTCTCAAAACAAGGACAACAGAAAAAAATAATCCTGAATTGTGACTGAAAAGGACAAAAGGACTAGAACAGGAACAGGCAGAATCACTGCTATCCAAGGCAGTTACCCAGGGAAGTTCTACCACTCAAAGTTAAACAAATCAACAAAGAGGTAAAAGATTATTTAATTATTGCACTGTCAAAAGATCAAGAGATGAAAAATATTTTTCCTTGTTTCACTTTTTATGTGAATGTCAACTCACACAGTAGAACAGACATAACTTTAGGTATCCCTAAAGAACACTAAGAATTTCCACTACCTAATTAGCATTAAGCATGTTCAGTTTTAAAAACTTCTACTATCTTTCCCTGAATTTTCAAGCATATTCAGTTTCTAAACACGAGACCCCAGTATTGTCAGTCTTCATTTAAAGTTTGATCTAAAATACAAACCTGATCTGTTGTTATGCACTAATGCACAAGAAAATACACATTTTTTCCTCCATTTCAATGTTAAGAATCATTCACATTTTATCTTTTCATTATTAATCATTTGCTTTTGCAAAACAAAGACTATGACAATAGCTTACTGATGAGGCTATAAGATAGTGGTGATATTAGAAGCACAGCAGGGAAAAGCACTTCTCCATTAGATTGTTATCAGCAAGTAAATTCAGGTGAATCAGAGTTTGGAAAATGCAATATAACAATCTCATTGTGTAACTCTGAACTACTACATGACTCTTTTGAAATCAAACTGTAAATGTAAGAAGTGTCAAAAACTAATGGTGTGAAGTGATTGATAATTTCATTAATATTTTGATTTTACATAATGTAGCAGCCCATTCTTTATTGTCAATATATGAATAATCTTTTTTTAGCAAAATATTCACACTCATTCAATCTACTCAGATGAAGAAACAAACTCTAAAATACTGATATATTTTAATAACATTAATATATTTTAAATAATGGATCTATATATTTGTTACCTATATTTGAAATAACAGGTTGCTTACAGAACCTAAAATGAACAAGAGTTAAAGGAAGATGAAACCCAGGAAATGTAAGTTGCCCTTTCCACTGTGGCACAGAAACACCTAGAAACTTCTAAAAAATAAGAAACAATCTTTTCCACACAAATATTTCATAATTAAAATTAATTATGATGAGTAAATTTTAAACCACCAATGCCACCTGAATTATAGACAATGTTACAACATTTAAGAAGTTCTTACTAAAATTTGGGCATCTTCAGCCTCCTCTTGAATAGTCTGCAGAGCCTCTAACAGATCCTCATCATCTTCCTGAAGACTAAATTCATCATCTGCTGGAACCTAAATGAAATTATTTAAAGCAACCATATCAGTATATTTTATTCAGAATTCATATTCTTTCAGAATACAACTGTTTCCACACCCAGTACAACTACTGAAGATAATATCATTCTCCTTAAAATAATATTTTGCCATATTTAAATAGAATTTATATTAGCAAAACATTCTTTATAAAAAAGCTGAAACATCTAAATAGAAATAATTGTAGCTTTTAAAAAGTATTTAATGTTCAAATAAAAGTAAGACATAACAAATCAACTGACATTAAATTTTCCCTTGAAAAATAAAGATATGCCCAGCACCATCACACTTTATAAAAGGAGATTTGTGTCATTCCTCCTAGGATGTTTTTATGACTGATGAAGTGAAACAAAAGAATGAAACATGAACACTACTACATGTATCAGAAGATTATAAATTTAGTGAATTACCTCCTCATATTGATAATCATCTTTAGAATCATCTGTTACAGTAACATCTGCAGATTTTGTTAAGTCTGAAACAGCTGATGCACATGATGAGTTCCAACTTCAAAAATGTATCATAAACCAACCATCTATAAACCATCTATTCCCACCCCCTTTGCCCTTGTTCTTTATGACATAAGACTTTACACTTTCGAGCTTTCTTCAGCCTTGAGGTGAACGTGCCCAGCTCCAGTGAAAACTATGTCTGTACACAGATTCTAAGTCTTCACAGCAGGTTTAAACACAAATAAAATTTGTCTCATCAGATGTGTCAGAGTTAGAAGTCAAGCACTGTTCACAGTTAAGCAGTAGCTAAATTCTGCTCTCAGAATCATCAGTTTTCACAGGGGGTCTTACTGCATTTGGACTTTACGCTTCTAAGCATAAGTAACTTCATGTTCTCAGAGAAAGGCATTTTTTATCAAATTTAGATGTACAAGTTCAAACACTAACATCTGAAATCAAACACTGAATACTACAGGACCATTTACTGAAGCTGATATAAGTGCCTTAATAATTACAGCACAGCTACAATAAAGAGATAAGGAATTTTCAAAATGTAAAAATTCATTTGGAAATTATCTACAGTTCCTTCAAATGCTTCAGAGTCAACCTTTTCATTAAAAATAACTAAAAACGGTGTAAAATTAAATGAAAAACATTTTTTCCATCCACTAGCCTCACAGCCTATGGAAGTATAACAAAAGTGCTTTTAGTAAGATGCTCTGCTGACAGCTTCCCTAGAAAATCAGTTAGCCTACAACTGACCCATGTAAATAAACCAGAAATTAACTTTCAAATAAAAGAAAAGTTGGCAATTCGGTACTTCACACACATCAAATTTCAATGGTAACTTCTATATTTAAAGAGGGGAAAAAAAACCAAACATGTTTTTCCATCTTTGCTTCACTTCCCAAATCTGAATTATTCTGCTAAAAAAACAGGTCTTTTGCTACAGTTCTTACAGAAAAAAAAAAATATATATATATGAAAGTATCATCTGCATTCAAGATCACAGCATCAACGAAACTATCAGTTAAACTGTAACCATCTAGAAGGCTACCAGCTGACGATGATGTCCCAAAAAAGGATAACCATCATTTGATTCAGAGATGTGAGGTTTGAAATAAAATTTGGAGAGACATCCTATTCTCTTCTAAACTAAAAAAAAATATCAAATAGGGAAGTCATTGAGTGAATAAAGGCATAATTTTCAGTAATCAAGTCAAAGCACATCTGCATACCTCCAACTGTCCAATTACACTACAGGCTTACTATAAAAAAATGTATATATAAAAATAGGAAACTGGCATGAACACTTCTTAATCTCCTACCTAGGCTTAGTACATGAAAGCAAATGCCTCCAATACACCATCCCCAAATTTACTCCCCAGATTGCTGCATCACAGACTGCAGACGTGGAACACAGAACTTGAATTCAAGTCACCACCTCTCTGCAGCTCAAACTGGCTCTCTGCAAAAGCTTCATTTTCTAACCCGACTGATTCTGGAATGTGTAATTCTAAAAACTGAACTATGCAGAAATTCCTCTCAAAAAAAGAAAAAAGAAAACAAAACCTCTTTTTTTTAGTTAGATTAAAATACCCTGACACTAACTAGCTGACTACACAGTCTGTCTTTAAAGAATGAGACTTTGAAAAGCACGGTCATGTTTCTACAGCATTAATACTTGGGTATAACAGTTTTTCAATGAAGCAAGGGATAATTTCCATATATATTCAGTAATTGTGTGTACAAACTAAGTATCTGCATACTTCTCTCAAACCACTGAGCCTCCTCATTACTTCATAATACAGTATTTATCAGCTAAAAATTAATTTAAATAAAGTACATTTAAATAAAGCACTCTGGCTTATGATTTTTCACACCATGTTTAGTGATTTGATCAGACTATTTTATTCTATAGCTACCTTTTGTACAGGCTACAAATGTTCCCCCTCCTCCCTCCCTTGACTATTTCTTTCTGCAATTATTAAATCTTTCGATTCAGATAGAAAAATCACTGCAGTATATGGTTGATAAGTAAACCACATTCAAATAACATGTTTTTTTCCTGAATTTTTTACTGACCTGACTGTCGTTGCAATCCGTTATGGTCTCAACTAATGCATCATTGCAAACACTGTGCACCAACTAAAACTTCACATTAAAAATTATGATTTTTTTTTTTCCCCTCTCAAAAAATCATAGCCAGGTTCATAATGAAACAGGGGAACTACATTTTAAAACTACTATATTTTCCCAAGAAATGCTGTGTTGTTTTTTTTTTAAACACATGTCCTGATACAGAGCTTTTTTCAGCACACCACACAGCTGCACAGTTTCAAGGAGGTAGAAACTGAGGCCCAAGTTCACTGAGGCAAATCTTCCACTTTATTTTTTTAATATACTGCTTTTATATTGGTTTACATCGTAATTTTAGCAAGGCAGGAAAAACTAAGGTACTAAAATAGGGCCTAACACTTAAACTCTGATTATTTAGCCTCTAAATGAAAGGTCACAAGATCTTCTTGATTTAGCAGCTCATAGCTACAAAAGAGAACAGATAGAGCTAGTCTATTCTAGTGATAAAACTAAAAACTTGGCTTGCCTGACCAAAAATTAAACATTTAAAAGCCATAAACTCCTAACATAATTTGCCACAACTCAACTATGAAAAGAATTCAAGCTTTTTTTCCCCCTCCCTCACCTCTAAAAGCCCCAGGAAATAAAATCACATCTAGGTTATTGTATCATAACTTTTATACCTTTGTCATACACAGTACTGAACAAAACCACTACTATCTAGCCAGTTCCTGTGCACGGCTGGCATTGGGAAATTAAAGGAGCACCTTTTACAACGGCACATTGGGACTGTGAGTCTTGGCACTTCTCCGTGGATATTTTGCATTGACTGATCAACAACTAACACAAAAGAGGCGACAAGAGATTTCCAGTCGAGGATTTTGACTCTTGCTCAGACAGCCCCATCAGAAGGAGATAAAATCCCCTCAGCTTTCCTAAGGGTCACTCAGAGGACTCTTCATCAACAAAGAAAACAAACATTACAGGCAAGTGAGAACACCTCTGCAGGATAACAAACCGCATATTGTCCCTTTTTAGCCTCCAGGGACAATAATTCACAAAAAGCAGCAAGACAGTGGGGGGTTTTTTGGCTCCCCCGCTCCCCTCACTCTGTGAAGAAACGGGGCACCCCGCGGGGCTGGTGCCGGGACGGTT